GCCCATGTGGCCAGGGCCTGCAAAGGCCCAAATGGGCTTGTGAAAGCCCATGTGCACGCAGCGGGGCCTGCAAAGGCCCCTATGGGCTTGTGAAAGCCCATGTGCACGCGGCGGGGCCTGCAAAGGCCCCTATGGGCTTGTAAAAGCCCATAGGGGTGCAAACCCACATGCTGATTGCAAGAGTCAACATGTAAATATATATTATGTATAGTACATGCCACGCATGAAAAAAAATGGTCGTTCCAAAAAAAATGGTCGTGCGAAACAAAAATGGTCGTGTCGCACCGCAACCAAAAAACGGCAGTCGTTTCAGGTCCCAGGTTGCTTGAAGTGACCTTTACCCCTGCGAATATGAGCGGGCACTTGTCAGGTCCCGACGATTCATGCTTCGTGCAATTGACAAAATTTGGACTCGCAAGCTCTTGACTCCACCGGGGACCCCAGGTTCGCAACAAGACCTCATCCAGTTGGTACTCCAAGAAACTTCTTGGGTGCCAAGTCCAAAAAGCAGGCTCCCACTCTCAAGAGGTTTGATTGACGTGCCGAACGTCCGGCTTTTCGCGAGTCTGGTTTGGGGAAAGAAGCGCCTCGTTTCTGGTTTCGATCGAAAGAACTCAGAGGCTAAGGATCCGCCAAAGATCAGACCATGGTCAAAAATGCATAACGCATGCACGCATCTATATATATATATATACACATGGTTTATGCCGCAGTCAGAATTAATTGCTTCGACGATTGGGGCTCGTCCCCTGTTGTTGTTTTGGGGGAAACTTAGCGAGTCCCCCATGTCTTTCACAAATCTAAGATAGACTGCTGCAATGCTTGGCCGAACCCCATATCAATATGCACAGTTCCATGTATCTCTCAAACCTGACCATTGCAGTTCTATCAGACGTACAGGGTCTTGTTGCACTACCTACCAGAAGGCACTCTCCCACATGAGTCGTGCTCAAAACCAGGCAAGAGGATATGGTGACTACACCTCTCTCCAGCAAGCCCGGGATTTTCCTCACGACCCGCTTCTCGCGTTTAGGCTGAGAGGAGCGCAAAGGAACCAGCCACAGCCTCGCTTAGGGCACTGGCGACAAAAATTCAAGCCCAATCATTGCATTCAAGGCGCAACCCCTCCAACACGGCCATAAAATGGTGCTTGATTCAAAGATGGAAATACAAGGACCTGCCTGAATCCTACTCGAATAGTTGCAAAGGCGCACACAGATCTACAAGTGAGCAGTCTAACCCCCTCAATACATTGTTGTTTGTTGCTTTATCTAGTTGCTTAAGTTGCTGTTCATGTGTGAGACGTTGTGCGGGCAAGATGTGGATGACATTTACAAAAATACAAACAACAAAAATAGGAAAAACAAAAACATGCGTATACCTTAGATAGTCTTGCTTGAAACATAGTCTCCCGATGCCCGGTTTGGGGCAAAACAGGACCGCGCGCGGCCGCCTGGCGGCGGCGGGGGCGGCGGTCGCCCAGGCCGCGGCAAACCTGCCCGGTGCACTCGGCAAAGTAAGACCAACCCGCCCCCGCCTTTGTCTGTGAGGAAGGTAGAAGAACTGGACGCAAACTTTGTCTGTGACCCCGGAAGGAAGAAGAAGTGGAACCAACGAGTTTGCTTTTGGGTGGATTCCCGGGTATCATGTGGGATTGAGGTATTTTTGGGGTGATTGGACATGAAATTGGAACCATCGAGTTATTTTTTGGGGTGGATTTTTCAGGTAGGGGGGAAGGAAAGACACCAAAGGAGCAGTTGGATTTAGACCCAACTCCCGCCAAGCCCCGCAAGAAGCCCCAGCTTCCAAACCCACCTTCCAAACCCCAGCCCCAAACACCAGCCCCACAAGAAGCCACACCAAGGTGGAATTTGAAGACACTGCTTACTGGCTCACGCAACGCACGTTCAGGCATGGAAAGGAGCCATTAAAAGACAGGTCAGTCAATTGGGAGCCCAAGTTGGGCGGTGTCCCAAAGAATTTCCTAATGGATAGAGCACAGCCCAAATAAGACATACAGAAACAGACATGCCTCAAAAATGATAAAAAGAAAACAGGACGCGCCCACACCTCCACCCCGCCGCCCCCCCTCCAACGCTTCGGGATCAGCCTGGCATGCCGGGCCTCAGTCTGAAGAGATGCGACCGATTCCTTGTTGGGAATCACGTGTACAGGTTTTTTTCAAACGGAGGGTCTCTCCATTTGAGCTTTAACCCTGACCGCCTCAAACTTAGTCCTGCTCATGTAGGCACTGAGCTTTGAAAGCCCAACAAAGCAAAGCAAAAACCCAACTTGGAGGGTGCAAACTCATCTATTGGACCCCCACCACAAAGGTGTGTTACATTTCTTTGGTAATCCAAGGGAAGGACTAATCCAAGCTGAAAGTGTTTGACATGTTGTCAATGATGCTTCGCGGCTTTGCTGGCAAAGGCCGAAACACGATCTTCCTCTCGGGCGCATGTTTCTGTGTTTTGTTGAGGAAAAGGAAAGCCACCGATTTGGGGGAACACGAATGTCCTTTGGTGGCGATCGGAGCCCGATCGGTGCCCTGAAATAGGAAGCGTTCCAGCGTTCCTGCAACCATCCCTGCCAGCCCACCCCCCACCCTCCCGGCCAAACAGTCGCTGAATGACGCTTCCTCTAAGCTTTTCAGAGGTTAGCTAGCCAAGGGACTCCAATTCTCCCATCAGCCAAGGGAACATTTTGAGTGGGTTAGGCATCGCAGAGGCTCTCTGAGAGCGCCGCAAAGCGACTCGAGCCTCTCCTCCGCCCTGCGATCGAGCTTGGTTCTCGGTTGCTTTCTGCTCCCCTGCTAAAAGCTTCACTTTTAGTGGTTTAATAGAAAACCCAATAGTTGGCAAAAGTTAGTCCTAACATCCAAGCAAGATGCACCAAAGAAGTGGTGTCCCCACGCTTTTGGAAATCCAAACACCTTCTCATTGCAGCTCGACATGAGCTAACTTAGGCCAGGATTGGCAAAATGGGCCATCTGATCCTGGCGTTCCTTGGCTTCTGGATGTCTCAAAGATGCAAGCAAAAGCTCCAGCAATAGGTTGTCCGGACGCGGAGGTGGGGCCAACCTTGGTACGTCACCATTCGCCACCCCCGTTGGACCGTTTGAGGAAACCAACCGGAGCTCCAAATCTTGAGGATTTCCACGTGCTCTTCACCCGCCATTCCTTGCAACCAACCCACCCCCCAGCATTTCTCCATTTTTGCCCCATCAGACTTTATGATGTCGATCTCACTTCTTGATTGGCCAAGACAAGCAACCAAACCCATCCATTGCCACTTTTATCTCAAACAGTTGTTTCAGTCCAGAAACCCAGGGTGAGAGATTGGTTTCGACTTGGTTTCGAGTCCCTAGTTCCTGCTGGTTTGGATTTGGAAGCTCTGGTTCTCTTCCATTTGCTTAAGCCCCCTGGAAAAATAACAATATGTCCAGTAGTGATAGAATTCCCAAAACCAGCAAGGGAAAATAACAAGTGTTAATTAATAAGCAAATGGATGTTCTTTTTCGGGCAAAAGGGACATGAGGCCGGGCTCCCAAGCCAATCCAAACCAACCATTTCGAGCTGACACAATGCCTGCAGCTCTTGGTAGGCGGCTTGGTACGCCTGCACGAATGCGCAGCTGCAAAGCCAGCAACCCAGACCCTGTTTGTTTTGACCTCCATGTTTTTACCTTGGTTTGTACGTTCACAAAACAATAACAGAAGCGTAACTCCAAATGAGGGACCCCTTTGAGGACAATGTGAGGAATGGAAGTGGACTGGAGCTGGAAACAGGATTCGCAAACCACCTAGATCACGCCGGCAATCAACATGGTCAAGATCTATTGTGTGCCCAATGACATTGGAGTTTGGCGACTAACCTACCTCCACCTGGTAACAATTTTGTAGGACCCAAAGTCCTGTGAACTTCAGATTCTTGACCAACGCTCATATGTGCCACGGTCAAAACTCCCAACATCAGTCCGTAATGGTGGCTCAAATTTTCCTATCGAAAGGGTCCACCGTCCCTATTGTGCTACCGTGGATGCTTGGTCAGTAGATGCTTGGTCAGTGGATGCTTGGTCAGTGGATGCTTGCTCAGTGTTCAAATATTAAACCTAGGATTTTAAGTCATACTTTTGGTGAAGGGTAAATATGCAAGACGGTCCCAGGCTTTGAGCAAGGACGTTGAATATTGATTGCTCAAGGGTTGGACCCTTGGCTCTCCGAAAGCCTCGCACTGGTGAATGTTGGTCATTCACAAATGTCATGAAGGTTTACGTGGGCCCTGCAACCCCCCCCCCATATTAATAGAAATTGGTTTTATTTTACCACTCTCAAAGTCACCCCAAGTGATGGGCTAAGCGGTTATTTCATCAGTTGCCATAACCTTCCAGAAGAGAGCGAACGACATATCGACCCCAGAGGCAGCTACGTTGACGCCACCGCGACAAACTGCGTGGCGGAAAATCGGCTTCAGGCTCTTCAGCCGATGCGCCGGGTTCGGGTTCCCGAGCCTCGAGGGAAGACTTCAAGGTGTCATGGTCTCTCTCTGCCGCCTGCAACTCGACAAGCGTGGCCATGAAAAACAGAGCTGCATATACATGTATATATTTATATATATATACATATATATATATATACATATATATAGTGTTTCCCTCCTTAGAACATGAGACCACCAAAACGAACCTCGCATAAAATCACAAAGGCGATGTGAGAAATACAGCGACCTCTGAAAAGGGGCTGCCTGCTCTTGGTGGTTGATTCTCAAGGGAAACCCTTCGACAAAAATCACAACAGGGCGGAATCCGCTGGCCAGGACAACAAGCACTCATGCCATAGTCAAACAGTGTCAGGAACGGCAAGCTTGCCACGGTCCTTGTTACAAACTTCCATTTGGTGAAGACTCCTGGAAAAAATCCAACATTTCCAGTAGTGACAAATTCCTTGGAAAAAAAAGGAACCATGCTCCCTTAAGCTAAGCCAATGGAAGCAAAGACTTGTTTCAAAGACCGACTTGAGCTGAGGACTGGGCTGCCAGCTTGGCTTCCAAGTCTTTGGTCGTGCCCTGCTTCTTCAGCACCTCCTCCACTTTCCTGGCACGTCTTTCAGAGCCAAGGACCTGCGATGTTCAGAGGGGTCGAACCCGTCAATCAAATCACGGGGTTCGATTCACGCAGAAGGGTGCGCATATGCATGGCTGGTCCAGAAGGACGCACTGAACAAGAGGGTCAGTTGACTTCCCTTCCAATGCAACCCGTTTGAACTGCCATGAGAATATGATGATGGATCCTTCAGGCGCAAAATTGCTTCAGACCCTTGAACAAGCATTGAGCGGAATTCACCCAGCAGCTTCTCTGAGTCCTTTTCCCAGTGTGGGTTCCCTCTCTGAAAAGGCCAAATGGGCTTCCAGGGTCCAGGTTCCATAGTTCTAGGGGTTGATTCCTTTTCCATTATTTTCAACCATCGTTCTTTTCAATAACCAGCTGTTTCCCCAGGGTTTTGGCTGGTTTTCTGGAAAGAAGGATCCCTGGAAAGAATGGGGAAGCTACCCCTAGAATACTGAATCATGGGTTGTCTGTTGGGCCATACAAATCTCTTTAAGGGCGTCTGGAAAAAGTGAAGCTCAGCTCAGCACGCAACGCCGAAACGCCCCGTGCCTGTCCACATGCTCCGCGACCTCCCGGTCTTTCATGGCCAGCCGCCGTTTCAACTCGTCCCGCTCCTCTTTCAGGCGACTGCTCTGGTCCTCGGGCTGGAAACCCGTCGGGGGGGGGGGCATTTCACAGTGGACCCCTCGCCAAAGGGGGGAACACCCACAGAATGATTCTTCATAGTCGACATGAAGACTAATAACAAGTTCTCCAAGTATTTTCCTGGTTTCTACTAGTCTCTCTACATATATATATATATACATATATATTATAAACGTGGTGCTTTTGAACCCGCAGTCAACTCTAGTGCATCCAGGAGGGCGTGTTCTGGCCACGCGGCGTTTTTTTGGGCGTTTTCCCGTCCATCTCCGGGGCCCCAGAGATGGTGTGCAGCACATACTGTGGATGGACGAAATCCTGCACAACCTAAGAAGCCCTGGCATTCCTTTGAATACCAACAAACAATGGCTTCCCGCAGTTTCAAAGAGGTGCAGGATTTCGTCCATCCACAGCAGGTGGCCTTTTGGGAAAAATCCATGGGTTTCCCTGAATGGAAGAAACCCCACCTAAACCAGTGCCATCAAATCATTTATTAATCGAACTGACCTAAAAAGGACGCCTATCACTGTGTGGACGCAATCCACTTCGCACCGCTCAGAAACCCGCAAAGGTTCGACTCCCTGTAAATACCCAACAAACCATGGCTTCAACCGTGGTTTACCAAGGTGGTGCGAAATGGATTTGGGCCATGCACAGAATGTCATGATTATATGAATAACGACCCACACATGATTTGGAGTACCCGAGAACCAACTATTGTCCAAAACCCTATCCGAGCTTGTCTCAAAACTCTGCTGGTTTCCGGTTCGCTTGCCTTTGAAAACAGGGGGTTCCCAAAAACGACGCAGGAGGGTTGGGCAAGATTTCTTTGAAGAATCATCCCCTGCAGTCTCTTAAGGGAAGCCAAGAGGAGGTTGTTGTAGCAATGGGTACGTGTTCAAACAGGGGGTTGGATCGCCCAACCCTAGCGCTCTCAACCACAAAACCGCGGTAAATCACGAGGATTTGCACCTCTCCCTTGCATTTTGCTCGTTGGCATCCCTTCGTTCAGCTGACTCTCTGCTGACTCTCTGCCGAGCTTCATCGAGGGGCAACTCCAACTTGCCCTGCCGCATGCGCGCGGCGATCTCCTTCGGACAGGGAAGAGATCCACGAGCGGAGCTACAGCAATGCTTTGCTGCATGGGTGAATGGTGAGGTGGGAACCCACCTCATTTCCAGCACTGCATGTGGTTGTGATCCCATCCACCTGTCTGGCAGGTAATCCCTGCGTCGCTTTGGAGCGGGCTACTAGTCCCCTGTATGTACATGACACTAGCAGTTGGGCGGTCTCCCCGTGTTTCCGCTTAGAAAAAGACAATGGGTAACCCCTAACCACACAAGATCCCTTTAATTCCCTCTTCATTGTCACCTCACCAATCTAGTAGTGTTCAACTGTTGACCATGTCATGGTTGCCGTCTTCCGAAGCTCCTAGTGCTTGATAACTATCAATCCCATTTGACATCCGATGTGGTTGACTCGTAGTCAAACCCGGCATCGAAGCAATGTGTCACAAAGAGCGGCCACAATTTGGGCTGGGAGTGACACTCCAATCACCCAGGCTTGACGTTTGGCTCTTACCCGCTCCAACCCCAGCCATATACGTTCACCCACTCCAACCCCAAGCAGCCATATCCAGACGATGCGCAGGTGGGTGTGTCTGTTTCGGAGTTGGAACCCATTTTGGGGCAGGTACGGGTGTATGGGTGTCTGTGTGTGTGTGTGTGTGGGTGTGTGTGTGTGTGTCTTTTGTGAAGGTGCGGGTGGTGCAAAAAGAAACGCAAGGGAGAACAACCCAATTTGGGGGGGGGTTCTCCCATTCTGGGCAGGATTGCTTAAGAGAAATGAAGGAAAAACAAAGAAGAGACAAACCAACTGGCGCCCAGGGACCCAAGGCACCTCCAACTGCAGCATCTCCTCTGGTTGCAGGTCGTGCAAAAGCGAGACCTTCCTCAGTGATGGAAGCAAGCAACTTGCGACCGGTGCGATAGGTAGGGCGTTGGTCCCCTTAACTGAAACCCCCAGTATAGTTTGTAAGGTTCATTCGAATTCTCATTCCCGACTGAGCACCAAACGGGAAAAAGAACGACAGGGCGTACATCCACAAAAAGCCCAGGTGGGAAAAGAAACACTTTTGTTGGGAGATTCTCCAAGTGCCGGAAGAACCCACCTGAGTGGAAGTTTTTGGGGGCACGTTTGCTTTACTCCGACTGTGTCTCAAAAGCGCTTTTTGCTCTTTTGGCAGGTTTCAAACAAAGGGGCACCCACACCAAAGTTGGACTGGCCCGCCCCGCAAGCCCCGCCCAAAAGCGCAAGGCAATCGTGTTGAACCCAGGGAGTCAATCAAATTGCACTAGATGTCCGTAAATTTGGTGGGGTCCTTCTTGCCTTATTGGCGCCATAGGGGCCCGGAATTGGGGGGGGGGTTCTAACTGACCGCATTAGATTCGACGAGTGTCGAGTCTTGCCGGTCTCTTTCAAGCGATACCCTGTAAAAGCGGGAGGAGGTGGGATGTAAAAACTTGTGCTAGTCAAGTGTAGACAGTGTAGAGATGTAAGATGGTCCCAAATCCAAGACTTTCTGTCCAGCCATTTGGGTGTGTGATAAAATAGGGAACCCCCCAACCCGTTGGTGTCCCTTTAAAACCACTCCAAAAAAAGCGGTGTCGAGCCATAGAAAAAAAAAGAACAAAAAAAACACCCATTTGCTGTGTGTTCTTTTGGAGGAACCCTCTTTTGGTTGGTGTTCAAGGGAAGCAAGGAAACCGTTGCCATTTTGGAGGGTCCATCAAAATAGACTCTATTTTACAACAACCCCACTTTCTTTCAGCTTTGGGTGCTCGACTTTTGAAACAAACCCACTGTCTTGCCATCAAAACTCCCAAATGTGGCTGACCAGAGTTCCCTGCTACCCTCTGGTCCAACATGGAACCCACCAACCCACGAACCCGGCTGAAAGGAAATGCTCCAAACCAGGACCACGTTCCACGTTTCCGCATGGAGGATCGATCCCCCTGGCCGTCGTCGAAAACGAGGCGACCCAGGTTGGCGGGCTCCTTTTCTCAAACAATGCTCCAAACCACACACCCCGCGGTTTTTGTCCGGCCGATCCCCCCCCCCCCCCGCCCGAGTTCCATGCGGCCAAATGATTTCCCGCTCGTCACGCCGAGGCGCTCCGCGGCCAGCTCCGCCATCTGCCGGAGCCGCGCCTTCAGCTTCCCCCGCTCCGTCTCCAGCTCCGCCAGGTCCTTCTCCAGCTGCCGGGCCTCGTTGGGGGGAGGCGCGAGCGGCGGACGGCGAGCGGAAGGGGACGGGGACAGGGGATTTGGTCGGATTTGGCTCGGTTTGGACGGGGGGTTTGTCGGAAGTTGCGGGAGGGGGGTTATTTGGGGGTTTGGAGGCAGTACTGCAAGGTCTAAAGAATTGGAGTAGGTTTGTGGGGGGATTTTAAAACCACATGGAGTCATTGTTCTTGGAGTGTACTGGTAGTAGTTAGTTGCCCCTCTCGGGTTGGCTTAAAGGGAAACCGGCTTTGAACAGGGAGTGGTGGTGTGTTGTTTCGGATGGTAGTTCAAGGGGCCAAATGATTACACATCGCCATGTTCCCCGTAGTTTTGGCTTCTTGTTGTTTTAAAGAACCCGCCACAAATCTGATTAGTTTGGCCCCTGCAAAAAGGCAACATGTAATTAGAAACGGATGTTGTGAGCGGTGGGTTCTTGCGCAGACCTTAATACATTTTGTTGGGCTGTCCCCCTGTTTTGACACATCAGAGCCAAACAAGGGGGCGAGAAGGGAAGTGATTCCTCCACGATAGGTGCAGGTGGCGGGTCCGACTAGGCAGTTGCAGGCTCTATTGCCGCACTTTTTTAGGATTAGGGGGGCAGCGGTGCAGTGTTGTCCAATGCGAGTTGTCCCAATGCCAATGGCTCAAGCAAAGGGGCGGCTGCAAATTGCCGCTGGGGCTGGGCTGTAAGGCCGTACGTCCCGGCTGTCCCTCCGTCCGTCCATCTAATCCAATCCAATCCAATCCAATCCAATCCAATCCAATCCATCGAGTGACAGGAGAAAAGTTCGGATTCGGTCCTACCAGATACTCGATGAAGAGCTTGAGTCACAATCAACACCTGGTGCTTATTAAAAGCGTCTGCTCGAACACTTTGAATCAACACCTGCACAAATCAGCACAAGCATATACATATCCATGGTTGATGGGCTGTCCACTCCAGAGGTTGCTTCAAGCGCCGCGTGTCAATCACCAAAAGGGTCAACCCAAGTGCCAAACCACTGGCCAGCGTCAAAATGCAACACCTTGATAGGAGCGCGGCTACAGGACGGCTCAAGCAAATTTCCTTGAAGGAATTCCATTCCATCCTTCTGACAGCATGCGACGCGCCCGCTTCAAGGAGACTTCGCATCGCGAAGCAAGGGGCTGTTCACAACGGCTCCCCTGCACAGCCACGACATGCTGATGTCTAACCATAATCCCCTATCCTCCAGTATTCCATGGCAACAAAATGGCATCCTGTTTTGCAAATTCATTTGTCTTCAAAGAGGTGTGCATCCTTTTTTGCAAATTTATTCGTTTTCCACTGGGGTTTCACTCCACAAATAGGTTGTATGCACGCCCTCTCCAGCGCCCGCTCCTCCAGGCATAAAAAGTCGACCCTGTCCACTGGAAAACGAACAGGCATTTAAAACAAAAATGACAACCCCACCAAAAAAGAAAGTGCGTATGCACACAATACAGAGAGAGAGAGCGAGAAGAAAAAAATCCCCCAAAAAAAACAAAAAACACAAAAAAGACAAGCTCCAGGAATGTCCATTTCGCTTGCTTTTCGGGCTTCATTGCCCTCCGACGCAGGCGCCATGGCCGTTCCCGGCCGTTGGCCGGCTCGAAGGCTCAGGAGGCTCTGAGGCTTCGGCCACGGCTTGGGCCTTGGCGCTGGTGACCTTGTCCTTCAGCTTCCAGTCTTGAAGCTTCAGCTGCTCCGGCTTCCTCCCAGCGGGGGTTCCCTCGACGTTTTGTGTTCCTTTTTTTTTTGGGGGGGGGGGGGGCTGGAGCGATGGGTCCCCCCTTCATGGCTTCCTCCGAGCGGTTCTAGAGCTTGTTCTTGTGTTTTGCTGGAGCGATGGTCCCACCCATTCCTCCGTTTTTGTGGTGTTCCTTGCAGGAAAGTCTCCATTTTGGGGGTCCACCCACATGGCACGTCGCTAAATGGCCCCAGGAACGTGGTCTTACGGGTACCGCCCTTACAGGTTCGATGGTCCATCCCACGAGCATCTGCTCTTCCAGGTCAACATCCACCCACCTGCCATGCCACCTGCGGGAGTTTTGATCATGGAACACATGAGCAGCTGACAATACCACAACAATCTTATAGGGGACCACCAAAGCAACCTGCAGAACCGATGGGACATGGACCACCCAAAACCTACGGCAAAGTTGTCCGTCAGCATGTCTTTGGAAGGGGATCAAGGTTTCAGGCTACGGAAATGGCGGAGCCTCCCCAAATCCGAGTCTCCCCTAAATGCTCATGACTGGAAGCCTGGGGGTTAGAGGCTCCACAGTCTTTTCTCTTCTTCTCTGAGCTCAGTTCGGTTTCAAATTCCAAAGCCTGAACTTAAGGGATCCACAAGTGGGTGTCTCCATATAGGGCACGCACAAAACAGGTTGGTTTCCTTTTGACTTAAAAGCAACCAAAAGGAGGTACCCTCAAAAAAGCACGCCCAAGTGGAGGCCGACATCATAGTAAGCTTCTACCCCCCAATTTCGTGCCGCCAGACTACACGTTGGCGATGTTCCTGAGCAGCTCGTTCTCGTAAACGATGCTCGCAGCCTGCCACAATCCCACCGCTTTCCGCAGCCAGGTCTTGTCAAGATGGGTGTCCCACAAATTGACACCTCCCCAACATGTGTCTTCCTTTGAAGCTCTTTTTGGATCCCCACCACAAAGAACAACAAAGCCAGGATGTCTGAGAATGAGACTTGATGAACAGTATTTTTTGCCGGCCACGAGGGAACACACCTTCTCTAGCATGGAATCCACCAAAGGTGTCCTTCTTGAGGAAACTGGCCCGAACCTGGACTCCCCCCCCTTTGCGTCAGGTTTCATGAGAGAACGGAGTGGGATGAGAACCGATATTGGGAGGTGCCATGTACGTTCACCCAATTCTACATGTCCACCGGGTTTCTCGACATGCTGACCTATTCTTTGGCGTGGAAAGGCAAACGGAAAGGAAACCACCCAACTCATTGTGTAAGCAACTCCACCTCCAGACGTGGCCTGGTGACCGACTGTCCCAAGCCAGACGCGGCAACATCAGCCCCTCCACCGAACACTCTCTTCGGGGTTTGGCCCAAAAGGTGATGTTGAAAAAAGAAATACATGCTGTGGGTGGACGAAATCTTGCACCGCTTTGAAACCAAGGGAAACCATGGTTTGTTGGTACTTACAGGGAATCATCACTCCAGGGTTTCTTAGGTGGTGCAGGATTTCGTCCATCCACAGTAGGGAACCCTGGCAACTGGCCAGTGGCTTCTTTCACCACGTGGCCATCAAGTGTCCATCCTTTTTTGAGGGAACAAAGATGGCAGCGGTCGATGACTCGAACCAAAGCACAACCAGTTTGGTTCCATGGATGTTCTGGCTGAAATGAGAAGGGACACCTACAGTTTCATATCATTTTGCGCATGTTTTTGAGGCCACTCTTTTTTGGGGTGCAAAAGGGAAGCCAATGGACCTAATCTTAGCTTCGGATTAATCCGAAGACCATACTGAAGGGTGGCTCCCATTTTTGATATGGAAGTTATTTAGTTTGGGGGGTTCCTCGGACTAGTCGCGTTCTGCTGATAAATCCGAAGTTGACATATGCAACTCCGCTCGAGCCTCGGAGAGGTAGTGGGAGAGGTCGCGCTTGGCCTCTGCTACCTGAACTTGAGAGGCAAAGGACCTTCATGGGCAAAATCGCTCGTTTAGATCTGGATCGGCAGCTCGGAAACAATTGCTCACTGCGTCCGTGTGAACCATGATAGCTCTGACCAAATCAGCTCTGAGCCTTTTGCTGGCGGCAAGACTTGTCCGAACATCAGGGAGCCCTAAGTGTTCTTATGTTTGGTATGCGAGATAAACATGCGGAAGGCAAACAAACGGAAGTTGGCCAATGCTTAAAACAAATACGTTGGGCCTCAACTGAAAAAGGTCATTGTGCAGGAGCAACGCCATGTCCGCCAATCAGCTGTGCTATCAAGCGCATAAGTAGAAGCTAGCCATAGCCTGTCCGCATGGCGAGGTCGGCACGTCCCCTTCTGGTTGCCAGGTTACTGGTTGCCCCAAGTGTCGTGGTGACCAGGTTTGGCACAAGGAGTTCACATGAAGGTGTTCTCCAACATGAGAGATCCACCCGCTTAGCCGCAAGTCCGCGCTTCAGACACGTCTCTGATTTTTGTGGTGCCGAGCTGAAAACCTATCTATGCACTGTGGGTAAGAAGAAGTATCGCACAAATCTCGACTGGGCAGATACCGTAGACAAAAGGAGACATAACAACCCTGCTTATGCAGTATTCGAGCTTGCAGCGACTGCAGCATGCGACGCCGACATTTGGCTGCCGCGAAATCAACACCGGCGGTTGTTGCCAACATGGTATTAGGCTCTTGAACCGTATTCAAATGACTGCAAATAGCTTTCTTGCAAACGTTGTCAATGAAGAGTTGAACGAAACTGGGAATGAATAGATTTGCACCACGCTGAGACCGAAGCTTAGTGACGTGAACTGGCAGCTCTGCTTGCAAATCAGTCAGGAAGCCTCAGCCTCCGCACCGAAATCTCCAAAGAGTTCCGGACTTTCCCATGACTTCTTCAAAAGGGCAAGGCTCCCCGCATAAAACTGGGAACCAACCTCTGAATACCTCTTTTGGTGTCGGAGTAGCCCTTCCTCAAATATTTGCCACAGCTCTCAGTGCAGCCCCCCGATGGTGCCTGTCGCTTCATGTCGGCATTCTCCTTCGCAACTTGACGATTCTCGGCCAGAATGGCCTAGCGAAGCGACCACTTCGACTCTCCGACTGCCGTCATGACAGCGTTCGTATGTCCATCCATCCCCCCAACCTTAAGAGGGAGCGGGAGGGGGTGGGGGTGCGGACCCAATCTTCTTCATCTAGTCTTCCGCATAGAAGGTAAAATTGGTGGCCCCAATTTCCACTTTCAAGGGATGTCTACGAGTCAAAACTCGAATTCAAAATTCCAAGCCAGTACTGTGTGAAGTGTATGCAACACCAAGTGACGTGTATTGGAAATTATATATATAATATATGTATATGTCTCTCCTCTGTGTATGAACATGCATATGAATATGCGTGTGTATATGTATACTTTTGACATATATAGCACGCACCCAGCAATCCGAAAATAGAGCGAAGCGCAAGCACTACACGACAAGCAAGCTCTTCTCTCGACGCAGAGCTCCTACTCGTAGCTTACTGAATCGACCTCGCTGATCCAAATATGAACAAAAGCAGACTCTGCGGTTGAGTCAAAAACCCGCTGCACTGAGGCTACAGGTGCCGCAGCTTTCAACTTGTCCCTGATTTAGATTCGGTGTCTTTGAGTTTTTGTCGCTTTTGAGTTGGTTACCCTTGTTGGGGTGGTGAAAAAAAAGGGAAACCAACCGGAAACCTACCACTTTGGGGCGTCCACATGCTGACACATATGTGGCAAGAAAGCGGGAGCTCACTTTTTCTTGGCTCCACGTGTGTTTTTGCAAGGGAGCAGTGGGGAAGTCGGGCTCTTCTTGGTCGAGCAAACGAAAGCCAGGCCGTCGGAAAGCTTCACGGTGCTTGCGAAACGCGCGCCTCGGCACCCATACCCCGTGCCAATTGTTCCAGCTTCTTCTCAGCATCCAGAAGACGGGCATCCTGAGACGGAAAGGCAGACAAAGGTTTCCAGAAAAAAGTCATCCCAAATTCACATGGTTCATAGGATTTGGATCCTCTACATACATACTTACGTTCTTGCGGTACCTTTTCTTGTCTTGTTTTTTGTGGGGGTGGGGGTTAAGGCCACCATCTTGGGGGTCCCCGAAAAAAGACGCGTATAAACCACTTCTTTTTATTGTGAATGTCAGCATGGGCAAAATGCTCACTACCGTTGCACCACTGGGATTTGTGAAGGCTCTCTTGTTGCAGAGGCTTCCCAAAAAACATGGCGTTGCCCTTTCAGAAAGGAAAAGGACCCAAGCCAAGCCATTGCCAATGTGTGCATGTGGTCATCAAATGTGTAAAGCCGATGTCCAGCCCCTTCGAGCAAGGCAACGAGCAGGAGGCAAGCTACACTTTAGGTGCCCTACAAGCTTCACAAGCTTCAATGTGGTCTCCTGGTTTGCTGTACCAATTTGTTGCTTTGGCAATCCTTCAGTTCGGCTCCACCTAAAGCGAGAAGTCAACTTGTCGCCAAACTCCCCTTGCTTGCAGGCGGAAGGGAGGGAGGGAGGGAGGGAGGGAGGGAGATAGCCAAGTTGCGGCTTGTCAGACACTCCCTCAAACAGTCACGGTTGACACGAAAAGAAATTGGCAAACTGGCGATACAGCCGTCCTTTTTGGAAAAGTCTCTGGCCCTGGCAAACGGGTAATGAGCACCGAATCTAAGCCAGTGGAACCCATCTATGTCTAATCAAACCGATCAAAAGGACACCCAGGGCACATACCCAACACGTCCCACGTGGCCTTCTCCAAAGCATCCGCCTTCAAATGTCGTAGGCGCTCCTCAGGGTGAAACGAAACGGACAACCAGAGGCGAGTCAGGTGGTTGATATCAACGTCAACGTTCAAAGCCTCAACCTAGGATTTAACCATGTGAGTCATGTGGATCTTTCATGTGAAACATGTGAGTCATGTGAGTCATTCACCTAGGTCGAGGTCCTTTCATCATTCGAGTCATGTGGAAAGTCACGCTTTCTGGGATACCCAATACTGTGGATGGTTGCGTAATTCTCTTAGACACCACCGTTCAGAAACCCAACGCAATGATCTTCGACTCCCCTGCAAATGCCAACAATCAATGGTTTCAGCCATGGTTTCAAAGTCGTGCGGGATTTCGTCCATCCACAGCAGGATCTAACAATCTGTCCTTTCATCAGTTGGGTGTCTCTCAGAATCATGGTCCCATTTTGGGTGGTAAGGGGAAACCCAAAAGAAACCAACCACCTGGGGTCCCTACTTTTGAGAAACACTCATTTTAGTCCAGGGGAAAGATAGATGCCTCCAATGATCCCAACCGACCAAGTTTGGAACTTGAAAAACTCCAGCTGCTCTCAAAGCAGATATGCTCAGTGGCTCAAAATTAAAGAGCTAGGGTTATGCAGGTTTTGGTCCATGTTTCCACCCACCAAGGTTCCATTTTGGTACTGCTTTTTTGAGCCATACCCATATGTTCCTTTGGGTGTTCAGATGATTTCTTTTGGGACTTGGGGCGGAACCCCTTCCACTCAACCAGGATCTAACGGCAGTGGGTTTCGGAGAAGGCCTTGGTTCCCAGCTAAGTTGCTTAGTGTCACTTGGGACCGGGGAGCCGATCTCTAAATATTCAGGGCCCTATTCAAAAGCCCAAGACCCGTATACACCCCGAAAAAAAGAAAAAAACTCAGGTTGACCCCCGAGGGCGAGCCAAGCTCGTGGTTATCCTAGTGAAGGGAAACCAAGGGGCCTTTGCTAGGCGCGGGGCAGGCCTTTTCTTGGGTCCCGGAAAGGCGAACCCGCGCGGAAGAAAAGCTCTTGAGCTTTCTGGCCAGAAAAGCAATCCAAGAGTGCTGACTTGAAGAAGTAAAAATGGAAAAAGGACCCCTGGCTGGACATGGGGTCATACGCCCCCTTCAAAGAAGGCAAATGACTTGAGGCTTTGGGGGATATGATCTGGACGGTTGTGTTTGAGAAGCAGGAAAACTAAACTCTGAGCTGTGGCCTGTTTGGAGGTCCGGATATCGGCTGATTGAAAATGCCGCCAGGAAGCCGCTTGGAAGGGCCGTGCGCCATAATCGCATCCCAAAGTTGGCGTAGTCCGGTGGCAAAGGAAAGGCAAGCCAAGCCAACCGCTTTTCGACCAACTTGTCTTCTTATCTTGTTTTTTTGGAGGCTCGGAGCGACCCTGTATTCTTTGGTACCCTGACAATTCAGAGCCCCTTGATCGAATGGGAGTTGCCCTTCGGCCCCCAAATGAGCACGGGCAACGTTTCCCAACCTGGCTGAAATATCAAATCTTTTTAGTGGCGTCTCAACCAATGGTCATCTTTAGGTTTATCGCACCTTTTGATCAACCCCCAAATAGTCTGTCCCATTCACAAAGAACCAGCGTCCTCGTATTGCTGCTGTTGCTGGGCCGGCTGAAGACCAGCTGTGAGCGAAGCATCTCCTGGTGAGCGTTGCTTGGATGGGCGGTGGGCGGGTGGTATGTTGGCAAAAAAGTTGTTCTTTGCAGGCCCCCCGGCCAAAATGCACGGGACTATAACCTAGAACAGCTGCAAAGCATGCAAAGAACAGTGAAGATCTACATCAGTAGTTGCAAGGGTGGTACAAGGGCCATCCAAGGTACATACCAAAAAGATCATCCTTGTATAAGGCTGGTAGGCGGGATATGCCCATTTCGGGTGCGTGATTAGGGCCTTAGAGTAGTGCTTCTTCAGCGGGTGGTGATGAATCCTTCTTGGTGAGCTGGTGGTTATGAGTCCTATCCGTTTATTGTTTTGGCGGGTTTGGCTGTATGCGTGCGTGGAAAACACATGCTCCCGACATCAGTTTGCACTTCTTGGCACCTGCTCCGTGTTGACCAAAGATCAAAGCTGGAGCCGGGCCTGGATTCTATCTAAGTCAATTTTGTGAATGAGGGCTTAAAGACTCTTTGGAAGCCCCAAATGGCGGTTAACCTGTGGATTTCCTTTGAGACAACCCAAGGCTAGAAAGGAAGACATACCCATTTTACACGGTATAGCAAAACCGGCGTCGCTCTCTGACTCCTCTCTCTCTCTCTCTCTTTCTCTCTCTCTCTCTCTCTCTCTCTCTCTCTCTCTCTCTTTGTGGGGTTGTTTACGGTGCCACGTGGAACATACATACCCTTGCATGTTGTTTCTTTTCCGGGGGAGGGGGTGGTCCCCACCAAAACACAAGCGTTGTTTCCCAAATACGCCCAACAAAGCTGGATGCTTCTGAGCAGGGAATGAACAAATGACCCCTGTAACAACAGGGATCCGGATGCATTTTGCACCTGAACATTGCAACTTGTAAATGGTGGCTTCCCTTTGTGTTGGTGTTGAAAAAGCAACATGTTTCAAATGGTTGCAAAATGGAGATCTTTTAGGGGGCCCCTGTAACCACCATCCCCTGTAGCTTCATTCCCACCACCCGGAAGATCATTCCCGAGTCATCACCGGCCCCCAAGCGCAGCTCAATCCAAACCTTCCGAAGGCCGCCTGGGACGCTTGGCTTCAACCCCGGGCGCAGGTCCAGCTCCTGAGGGATCGATCCAATGGACTGATTTCCCTCTGAACATGGAAGCCGACGTTTCAAGGGGGTGGAAATCCCCCCGGGGACGCAAAAGGGTCAGGGGTCCCTGAGGTGACCCCCAACAACCGACCCCCCAATTCAGAGGTAGCTCTAAGGTTCCAATGTCACATTGCCTTGAATTGGGGGGTCGGTTGTTGGGTCGCCTCAGGGACCCCTGAAAGGGGGGGCTCCGGGGTTGGACCATGTTCCTTGAAAGGCCCCGGGACCGGGACCCCCGAACCTCAGGTTCCATGTGACCAACCCGACCTGAGGAGTCCTTAGTTGGGTGACCAACTAGATGGGTTCTAACAAATTGGGCTCCTTTCGGACGCACATGATGGTCCTTTGGCAAGCGATCGGAACCTGGGAGGGCGCCGGGGAATGGGCTGGTTGATGTTCAGTGCGGGCGGCGGCCCATCTAGGAATCCGGATCGCATTTTGGGGAGGCGGGTCCTGGGGTTCTCTGTTAGTTCCGCCCCCAACCAATTGTCTTTGGACAAAACAAAAACAAATGGTGACATGGAGGTGAAATATAGCTGACTTGGGGTTGGAAGAACAGGTCCCCTGTTTAACCTGTGGTTCGTTGATCGCTTGCTCAAAAACTACAGTGTTTGAGGTAAGGTGAGGTGAGGCGAGGTGAGGAGACGCGTTGCACATGCGAGCTCTTGTAACGGGTGCTCCAAAAACATCCACGATTCACCCCTAGAACAGGTTGATCAACACCTCCCATCTTCAAGCTGGCTGCCCCCCAGTTCCACTTTACGGGCAGCTCGCCCCAAGAAGTCCTTCCGCCCACTTCCAAACAAAAATGGGCACCCCGACCCCAACGAGCCACGCATTGGTTGGGACCACTCCAGCTTCCATAGGTGGCCTTTTGGAGAAATCGATGGGTTTCCCTGGTAAATGGAATAAACTCCATCTAAACCAGGAATCGCCCTCCATTTTTTCAAGCAAACAAACCAAAAAGGACCACCTATGCAGC